ATTTCATTAAAGAAAGTTTGCTGGCTTTACGTTCATAAATGGTCTGTCTGCATTGAATAAACACTTCTATTTACTTTCCACATTCAGAAAAAAAATCAGCTGATTTGGGTAAAGAATAAAGAAAATATTGAACATTTTCTAACTCTAAGGACTTTACGGACACCCTATATAATGAGAGATTAATGGGTTATGCATAAGTTTTGCAATAAATGTTGATCACAATTTCTCTGTGTTTCCAATATCCTGGAGACTTTGCTTTTTTGTTTGTTTAAAAGAGCAAAGTCTAAACTACAAAGCGTGTATTAAACAAAATTTTCTCTCGTAAAACTTCCTTAAGAAAAAATTCAAAAACTAAACATCACTAAAAAATGTACTGGTAAATTGTCAAAATGTTCGCTCTCTATTATCTTTGAAACGGTTCTTTTCTCATTTAAAGATAAGTTTGAAAAATGACTGATTATTACATCTAAGAGTGTTTGAAACACTGTTTCGATTGGTGTGCAATATATTTTCTTTAAATTTAGTTTTCGTGAAGAAATAATCGTTTGTCTGGTCACCTTTAGAAAATCAATTAGTTAGCATTTTTTAAGAATTCTTGAATTAAAAGATGAATTTCTTTTTCAATTTTGAACTAAATGTTGATTTTCATTCAATTTTCTGATGTAAAAATGTAATCTCATTTACTTCCTGCTTCATGTGACACCTCTGCTGAAAGCCTTAAGTATTAGATGCAAAGTTCGATTTTCAGAAAAGCTGACTTTTAGAAAACGTTTCAGAAAACCACTACTTGAAAACTTTTTAAGGGGATCAGATCGATAGAATTTTTCACGGACTATTTTTTCACGTATTTGGTTCCAGTAAAAAGTGATTATTTTTGACATTAGTGGAAAGATTTTTTTGATATGTTTTAGTAAAATTTTACCAAAACAGTTTTAGTGATGTCTACTTTTAAAATTTTTCCCCATATCATCTGACTAATCCACTATCATTTCGTCAGCATTTCGCTATACTTGTCCTCTAAAGTTGCTTACGTATCCTTGTATGTATGTTTCCCCATACATCCCTTTTTACTGTTCTGTAACTGTTTTTTTTCATCTTTTCTCCACATTATGACTCATCCTTGATGAGAAGTAAAGAAAAGAAGAAACTGCTTGTTTGGTCTATCATATTTTACTGTCTAAAACTCAGAATATCTATTATCAGAATATTTGTGTCATATTCTTTCATTATTTTATATCAAGAGTACTTACAGTATTTTGATAAATAGTAAAGTCCTGTTTCAGTGCGAAATATGGGTATGCCACATGTTAAATAGTGGGATATTATTGAGACTTGATTTCTGCTTTCTTTTGAGACAGATGAAGAATTGCTTCCGACAATCAACCAGTTACTTTCGACTGATATCGTGACAATACAGAATTACGATTATGATAATACCAATCGCTTCGACGATGGTAAGACAGACTACAATATTTGCATAAAAGAAATTAATTTTCATTTTTTAGTAATTAATATTGATGCTTCTCCTAATCAACAAATAGCGCCAATGTTGCCATCAATTGAAATAATCGCTCAACCGTTGCCGATATATCGCGCTCGTTATTTGAGTGAGCACAAAAACACGCCAAGATACGTACAAGCGGATAAAAACAATCGGTTTCAATTGAAACATCCAACAATCAGAGTAAAACAAATCACATTACCAGAAAAGCAATAATAATATGTCAGATCATTGCTCATTTAGATTTCATCTGATGCCTTCGATAACCCCAACAGAAAGCTTTTTATTCGCGTCGGATTAACAACTATTGTAAAAAACAATCGTCGATAGAAATATGTGACATTGAATAATATAAACAAAGTAAAAGTAACCAGAGTTATATCAAGACTTGATCCCTAGCTTACTACATTTTTATGTTCAATATTCTTATTATATTAAATTTTTTTCAGA